AGCCACGGACCAAGTCCAAGCCCAAGCCCATCATCGAGGGGGACGAGGACGAGGACGAGGACGATGAGGTGATTGAGAGTAGCGAGAGCTTGAGGCGGAGGAGTAGGAGCAGCCGGAGCAAGAAAGGGGTTGTGGAGAACGGTGATCACGATTTGGATGGTCCGCCGCCGGTGCCTTCCCCGTCTCCGCCGGTTTCGGTGGAGAGCAGGACGGTACCGCCGCTGCCGCAGCACCGCGACACGCCTTACGACTACTTTTTCTCAATGGAGGACATGCCGGCCCCGACGCTGGCCGACGCCGAGGAGATTGAGCGGAAGGTGTACGATGAGAGGCCAAGGATAGTGGAGAATGAGGAAGAAGAGGAGGTGTTCGAAGAAAGGCCGGAGAGAGTGGAGAAGTATGAAGAGGAGGAGGTGGAGGTGGAGAGCAGCGCGAAAGTGGAGGAGGTGGTGGTGGCGCCGCAGCTGCCGGTGGTGGATGAGGTGGGCGGTGGGTCCGTCGGGAAGAGCTTGAAGAAGGCCAAGGTCCCGGTGCTAAAAGGGAGTGTGAATTTGTTGCCGATATTTGCAGAGCTTGATGACCATTTTCTCAAGGCTTCAGAGAGTGCCCATGATGTTTCCAAGATGTTGGAGGCCACCAGGCTCCACTATCACTCGAATTTTGCTGATAATCGAGGTAATCAATCATAGTTCTGTGGTTCTGTTGTTGGGTTTTGTTATATTTGAGTGGTTTTCTGATGTTTGGTTTACAATTACTGTGATTACATTTGCAGGGCATATAGATCACTCTGCTAGAGTGATGCGTGTTATTACATGGAATCGTTCTTTTAGAGGAATTCCAAATGTCGATGATGGCAAGGATGAGTTCGACTCAGAAGAGCATGAAACTCATGCTACAGTCTTGGATAAGTTGCTGGCATGGGAGAAAAAGCTATATGACGAAGTCAAGGTACAAAAAAACTTAATCAGTTTCGTTTTGCTATCACTGTGATAGAGAAACCGTGTGAGAAATAGATAGAGAGGTTGCGCATTCAAGTCTCAAAGGTTCTAACTATTTAGGGCTCCACTGATATCAATATTCTGGTTTAATTACTACATTGTTCTACACTGTTTCATGAAAATGTCTTTGTTGTTTTTGCTCTTGCTGTAGTGTGGTCCTTTGAACTTTTCTACTCTTCCACAATGATATCAGTATTCATTACTTGTGCACTCAATCTAACTTAGGATTGACTATCGTTGGATAGGCAGGTGAGCTTATGAAATTTGAGTACCAAAAGAAGGTTGCCTCGCTGAACAGGCTCAAGAAGCGGGGTAATTCTGAAGCATCGGAGAAAGCAAAAGCAGCCGTAAGTCATCTACATACAAGATACATTGTTGACATGCAGTCTATGGATTCAACAGTATCAGAGATAAACTCTTTACGAGACGGACAGTTGTACCCAAAACTTGTTCAGCTTGTCGAGGGGTGAGTTTTCATTTGATAATATACAACAAGATTCTATTGGTGCATATTGTGGGTTGATTAAGGATTTGCAGGTGGTTTAATGGGTGGGGACAATGAGTCATGGGATGAAATTGCAAATAATTAGTTGGAGAAAATAAGGTGCTTTATAATTGCAAATAATGAGTTCAAACACCTCATCTGCATATTGCAAGGAGGTGTTTCTGGCAGAAGGTTCAGTAGGTTTTGCAGAAAATAGGGTGCCTTATAATTAAATTTTGAATACAAAAATGAAGAAAAGAACATTAGCATCTTTTCATACACACATATACATATATATATTGATGGAGACCATTTCCTTTCATTGTATGAGTGGATGGTGCTACCCTTCTCTATGAAGACCTAAAAATAAGTACCTTGTTTATTCACATCTTGAACTAGAGAGTTGTACACTAATCAATTAAAATTAATTCATATTTCCTGTGTTGGAGAGCATTCAACATAAGATTTCCTTTCCTCCCATCTTATGAGTTGATGGTGCTACCCTTCTTTATGAAGACCTATAAAATATTATCTTGTTTGTTCATATCTATAAGGAAACCTATAAATGGTGTCCTAATGTATTGTAGATTTTAGATTTTAGATTTTAGTGCTCCAGTTTATTTATCTTTTGGTTAGTCATCTTAAAGGGACACGCCCGGCCGGGCTCTTGATAGTTGGGGCCTTTACCACTGAACTGTTCTTGTAGGATTTTGCATCTATCTTCAAACGTACAATTTGAAACCACTAATAAATGATTAATGGACTGCAGGATGGCTACTATGTGGGATATCATGCGATTGCACCATGAGACCCAATCAAAGAGGGTAACAGCCCTCAGGTCTCTTGACACCTCCCATTGTCCCAAGCAAACAAGTCAGCACCACCATGAGCGCACAATCCAGCTGCTTGGTGTTGTGCAAGGGTGGCATTCTGAGATTGGGAAGCTTGTGACTTATCAAAAGGTGTACATCAAGGCCCTCAACAATTGGTTAAAACTCAATCTCATCCCTATTGAGAGCAGCTTGAAGGAAAAAGTTTCTTCCCCACCAAGAATTCAAAGACCCCCCATTCAGGGACTCCTCCTTGCGTGGCAGGATCATCTAGAGAAACTTCCAGATGATGTCGCAAGAACTGCTATACATAACTTTGGTGCTGTAATAAGTACTATAGTGACTCTCCAAGAGGATGAAATTAAAATGAAGGACAAATGTGAAGAAACCCGGAAAGAGCTTGCCCGCAAGAAAAGACATTTTGAAGACTGGTGCAATAAAAATATGCACAAGACCATTCCGGACGAAATAGATCCAGACAGGCCAGAAGGCCACACTCGAAATGATGTGGTTGCAGAAAAGCAGTTTGCTGTGGAAATAGTGAAGAAGAGGTTAGAAGAGGAGGAGGAAGCTTATGAACGGCTATGCCTTCAGGTGAGAGAGAAGTCGATAGCAAGTATTAAATCTCGCTTACCGGAACTGTTTAGGGCATTGTCGGATTTTGCTTCTTCGTGTTCAGAAATGTACAGAAGCTTGAGGCCTAGATCACCTCATAGTCCAAGTCAGAGCTCAGCAAGAGAATAAGTTTGTATGTATAATTTGCCCATTTGTGTTGTTTTCATTTTAATAATTTTTGTCCTGATTCTAGTGTCAATTTGTATCTATCAGTAACTTATAGGATTTTGCAATTTTCATATGGGACAAGCCCTGAAAATCATATACGTGAAGTTGATTTCAATATATTGAGGAAGGACCATTTTTTTGTATTCCTTTAACAATTTAGAAACGTTTTCTTTATTCAATTTTTTAAGCTTTTAATCAATGCAGTCATGGCTGCTTCTATCTCTATGGCTGCACTCACTCACATGTACATGTCGTTTTGTTAATTTTGTAGAAGGTTGAAATTGTAATTATTTATTTATTATTTTTTAATTTCTGAAAAATAAAATAAAGCCACTCCTTTAGATTTGTTTTGCCACCACATTTATGTACTTTACAAAAAGAAATAGGAGTATTGGAGAATCATGGAAGCAGGACTATATACCTTTCTTCCCTCCAAAGAAAGAATACAGTGGTCTAAAATAGTCCAGTACATACTTCAAAACTGCAAAGAGGTCAAGTTGGCACGTAGCTTTAACATATTGGTCATTGGAGGGCATGAGATACGAGTACTTTACATGACTAGGAACGAGCGAGATTGATACATGTTTGTATACAACCGGTATCCCTTAATTACGTAGCTTTTTATTTTGAAAAGAAGTTGGCAACCTAGATCTTTTAGATAAAAGGGATAGATGGTTACCAAACACACACAAGATGAAGAAAAAGAAAGAGGAATAGGCCTTTTACAGATGAGCAGATCCATCCAACCTAACATGTATGGTGGAACCAACTTCTACTTCAAGCATTGGATCTTCTATCTCAGATAAGAATAGCGTTAAGTAATGTAATAGATGGGCTAAGACTTTAGATCAAGCTTAGTCAATTTCCACATCTTGCCTCGGTTTCGTGCTTGCGCAAGCTTTTCTGTTGTTGTCTCCAAATAGGAAGAAGAAGAACTCTATAACAATAAAGAGGTAGTTAGGGGCCAATTTGGCAAACATTTTGTTTTTGGTTTGTCTTGTGTTAATTTTATCTATTTCTCTCATTTAATTATAGCGGACCATTTTTATCTTCTTAAATACGGTATCAAAGAAATAAATCATGAGGTCATATGCTGAATAAATTTATTCATTTCCATTTGTTCTATCATATATGTTTTGTTGGTGAGGGCTCTATTTCCAATTTATGCTTCATATGGTTTCTATGAACATAAGTCACATAAGATGATCAAAGGCAGCATGGATATTCATATTCTGCAGAGCTTATACGAATTTACAGATGTTACAAGTTTGTTCTTAAACTTTTGAACACTTTTAGGTAAGTACTTCTTTGATTTCCTGTGAGCAATTTGTTGAGACACCCTCTTACACTTTGAAGAAAACAACCCCTGAATCAATAAGAGGCAAAATGGGATCTTTCAAGAAACAGACTGCCGCAGTGCATGGTCGTCACCCCAAGCAACAAAACGACTTTCTTCTTCTGTCTCGTGTTTCGTTGATTAGATTCACTCCGGGAGGCTTTGAGGGGCAAGCTCTTGCTAATCTCTTTGCTGCATAGGTGGAAAGGAACATGATGTGTAAGCATTGCACATCTGAAATTCTGAACACTGAACTCTGAATGTTAGAATGAAAAATAGAAAATAGAAGACCTTCAAGTTAATACTATCATTGTACCTGAAGCATGCTAGACCAAACAAATTAAATTTTCTGAATGCCAACAATTCTACATGGTCCTAAGTCATTATGATTGATACAACTCTACGCGAACAAGTCTGGACTCATGCCGATTTTTTCTTTGCTGCAATTCAACTTGCATAGAATTTGGATTACAAAAATAATGTCTAATGTTTGAAACAGTAAATTTCCCTCGTGATGACCCTGCTATCCTTAGGCAATGTTGTAACTGAACCAGATTTTATCTTCAGATAATAATTCTGAAAGTTACCTATTTCATGGAATAGCTCATTGATATTCTGTGCAGTTTTGGCTGATGTTTCCAAGAAAAACATCCCGTTGTCTTGAGCAAATTGCTCCCCTTCCTGCAATCCAATTACAAGAAAAATAAAACACGAAACCTTTAATTTAAATACAAGTTCCAAACTAACAAACATCAAAACGTTATTGTGCATCCAGATCTAATAGTCAATATGACTGCAAATAAGTTCCTCTTACTACACACTCATGCAGATGGAAAGAAGGAGCGAAAGGGAAATTGTGGAGAAGCTGTTGCAAATACCTCATTCTCGACCTCTCTTTTCGCCTCCAAGTCGCACTTATTTGCCACCAATGCCATCACTAAGCTTAAATTCCCTGGAAAGGGTGATAAACAATGCATCATGTTTCATTTCAAGAACAAAAATCATTCCAGAATAAGCACAGTGAAAATACCAATTATTTTTCAAAAACTGAAAAATCATCCCAAAACACACTTACTACTTTAATATATAACATAGGGTCCACAGACATATGTGCAAGAAAAGATCTAAACCAGGCTGTTTCAAATTGTACTAGCCAGAGAAAAGCAATCACAATTTGTGACAGCAGAGTGTAGGCAAAAAAGACGTATCAGGGCATGCCACAGATTGAAGATACAAATAATACAATTTTAAACCAGAAAAGGTGACAAACAGCCTGAAAATTTCAGATGAGAATAGGAACTAAGGAGGAGATACGCAAAAGCAAGGTTGGTTTGTTTAACTCTTTCTACATTACATACGTATAGGGCAACCGTGTGAGTAAATTGGTATCTTGGTTTTCCATATTTGACACAGAGTTTAGAAAGGAAAAACATGGTAAGAATACAACTTTTCATTTTCTATGGTCTCACCTTGCCTTTGCAATTCTTGAACCCATTTTTTGGCTCGAGTGAACGTATCCTGAGGAAAGTGCACATTCTAATCAGTGAACCATATATAATTGCAATATAGTATAACTGAGTATTGAATTGAAAATACCTGCCATCACCTTCAAATCTTCAAATCAGAATTTACAGCATACAACTTGCAATCATATTCATCCAGACACTAAAGAATAGTACCCTAATAATTATATTATTATATACCTTCGGAATCTGGATTAAAAAAAGGTGAAGCTAGTTTACTATACTCGAACAGGAAATAGGCAACTTAAGGGAGCAAAATCCGATATACGTACATCATAAGTCAGTCATCAGCTGTTGCATACATTACACAAGCACATATACTCTTTTAAAATTTTAAGAAAGAGAGGGTGGAATTCATTAGAATGAATGAACAAAACATAAGGAGTTTGGTTCATAGGTACCGTGCTTGAGATGTCATACACGACTACAGCGGCTGCTGCACCACGATAGTACATAGGAGCTAAGCTATGATACCGTTCTTGTCCTGCTGTGTCCCATATATCAAACTTCACAGTGGCTTCACTTAAGGACAGTATCTGAGTGAAGAAAGCTGCTCCTATTGTTGGTTCCTGCATGAAAACAAGCACCGAGATCCTCAGTTCTGAAATTTCACATAAATAAGAAAAAAAGGAAAGATTTTATTGAAAATACAGAGGTCAACAAAAACCTGGTGATCAAAAAACTGGCCTTTGACAAATCTTAATACCAAGCTGGTTTTTCCAGTTCCCATGTCCCCTAGAAGCACCTGAATAAGAAACATTCAAGAAATGTAGAAATGAGCTGTGTCTTTATGAGACAATTCAGCTAACTACAAATGAAAATCGACATTGTACTACATTCTTGTAACTTGTAAGCACTGCTCTCATCAAGGAAGTAATGCAAGAAAAGCCAAAAGGTTCTCCTAATATGCTATTAATTCAACCTGAGAGTCTATGCTTCTCAAAAGACAGGTAAGAGATCAGCTCTTACAGAAACTACTGGACAGTCTTAGAGTAAGAATGGCACACCTACAAATGCTGGTGTATGCTGATATAAAGTCTGCTGTTTGAATTGCCACACTGCTTTGTACTTATTTCTTTTTCTTTTTTTGGGGTGCAAATCATGAATTGGGGCATTTCAAAATGGTGGAGCCTCAACTCAGCACTTCTGTGGGGTTTAATTTTTCCAGCATGCAGTTAGAAAAAAGAAAATGGATATCTACAATTTACATCAAATTTTGAATTCTAGGCAATACACACAATAAGGTTCTTCTCTTAAGCAATTGGAATTAGAGAAGTCAACAGATTATAGCACCAACCTATAGTAGCAAAAATGCTAAAAGGGTTATTGCACAGATTATTAAGGGATTGAAAAGAACAAATAAAATTAGAAAGAATACTCAATGTAATGAATTGGAAATAAGAAAGGGTAAGACATACCCACCAGTTTGGCTTGTATGATCTTGTTGCCAGGCCTGGCCATTGGACCACCTTGATCAAAATTTTCCAAAGTTGAAGGAAAGAGAGGGCTTTACAGAGAGAGAGAGAGAGAAAGAGAGAGAGATAGAAGTTGCTGTTGTCAAAGAGACATAAAAGTTGTATGTGAATTTTCATAGAAAATTAATAGATGGAACTGGAAATTGGACAAAGAAAAGAAAACACTCAATCCCCAGCAGTGGACTGGTAGTTCTGTAATCTGTTGACTGGTGGTTTTGTTGCACTTCTCCAATCTCAATGAAGAAAGCTTTGGAAATAAATGAAGAAAGCATTCCTTGTGGGCCCATGTGTCTTTGGTTTAGAGAGAGACTTTTATGTAATGGGTATAGCAGTTTGCTATTTTCTATCAATGATCATAACTGTGAGATAATGTTTCAATATGTCATTGTGTTATTGGTTGGGATAACACTTTCATGCAACAAAGATAACACTTTTTACTATACCCGACTAATGATGCAATGACATATGAGATAAGTTTTTCACGTGTCATTGTGTTATTGGCCAGAATAGCAAAACAGTGTTATCCCCGTTAGAAATAAGTTTTTCTACTTCACAAGGGCCTTATTAATTATATGAGTCCATCGGGTATTATGTGACCTACTGAGTACTAACTGGGTGCTGCATGGATTGGAGATATTGTATATGAATTGTACCCAAAATTCATGTGCTGGGTCGAAGTTATATTTTATTTCTCTTATGCTATCAAAATCATGCACTCTGAAAAAACAAAAAGAAAATTGATGGATGAATAGAAAACAAAAAAATTATTATTTCTTGATCTTAACACTTAAACAGAAAACAAAAAAATTATTAGAGAATATTTAAAAAACAGAGAGAGAAGTGCCAAATACTACATAAGCCAAGGTCAACTTTTGTTTCACTTCCTGGATGGGGTCTAGGGAGGGAAAGAAGAATTAAATTTTCTTCTTGGAGCAACGCTTCACTACAATAAGAATCAAGCCCAAAATTTAGTCTATTTTGTTGTAATTTTTTAAGCGCAAGGAGTCACCCACTAGTTCTTAGTTTATTAGGTCGTGTCACGTTCGTTCGTGCTTTTTAATAATGTGTTGAACTTAATTTGATGAATTGCATTTAGATAGCTAATAAGAGTGACATAAGAGTTATTTCATATCACTCTCGGACAGTAACTAGATCGATTTATCCAATTTTTGAAGAACTGGATCATTTTATCTTAATGCTTTATCCTTATATGGTATAACTCCAAAATAACACACAAAAGAATTAATCCACTTCGAGCAACGCTTCACTACCAACTTAATTATTAGAGAGGGTGTCGGTAATATAATTTCTAGCCTTTCCTTGGTGGTGTTTTCATTGGTTTTCTTATCCTTAAAGTAGAAGTTTAATACCTTTGCCGTTGTCACCTTGTTGCCCTCGTCAAGAAAAAGGGTGTTTGTTATTTCACACTTTTTCTTTTCCAGGGTGGCTTACAACAAATAATGAAAGGATACCAACTGCTTCCATAATCTCTTCTAAATTGATGTTCCAACTTCCAATATCTTCTTGTCATTTTTCCCCACTTCTTTTCTTCTCTCTCTCTTAAAAAAAAAAAAAAAATTTATTATTAAATATCTTTCAGGTTTCAGCAATGCTCGTTGTAAGATATCAGTTTGTTTTCATTCTGAATGTCGTATGAACATTAACAATTGTTTCCATTAATTCGAGTTCTTCTATATCTTTCATCTTTCCCCTTTTTGTGTTTTATGTATTTATTTAGAACCTTTCTATTTAAACCCCACACTTTTCTTTGTTCACCTCAATACTTAAATTACTAAGCTCTTAAGTTTTAGGGAGTTTCACTAAAACATTCAAAATGAGGGCTTAAATTATAAAAAAACCCAATCACTATTTAAACATATAAACACACCCAAAACCCATCATTACACACACTCAAAATTCATTTATAAACACACCCAAAAAGTTGACTTTGGGATTGATTTTGGGTGTGTTTCTATGTTTAAATAGTACTTGGGTTTTTCTATAAATACATGTCTAAGATTGAGTTTATTTATAAATTTGTATAAGTTTTATTATTGTGTAAAAAGACAAAAAAAGTCATGCAACTTAATACTTAACCCTAGTACATGTATACACACACCCCCACTCACCACTCTTCATATTAAGTGTTAGAAAAATACAAACTCCTCTACACCCTATAACTTGAGAAAGTGCCGGCGGATGTGGAGTGAGATTTTAATCCTGAAAACATGGCCTAGGGAAGACAACAAAACTTGGCTTAATTTATCTCCATAGACAACTAGAACCATGTATCTGATAGAAACAGATTTAGTTTGAGTTCATATATTCAGTTGTTTCCTTCATCAAGTGCCAAGACTATGAACAACAACAACCCAACTGCTTCTAGTGAAAGAAACCAAAAGAAAAGGACCTGCAAAGATAAACTGATATGACCAATTCAAGGGCCAAAACTTGTAATTGCCAACATGCTGAAGTTCTAATTGTCAACATTCTCAATGGGGCTAACTAAATCAGTCTTCTGCTGTACATGGATTACAGCAGCAGACTACGGAAGAGTACAGGCAAAACCCTGATGCCTTGGAACATCGAAATTAGGGATTTCAGTGAACAACACAACAATGCACATATGAACAACTAGATCAAACTGTAAAAATTTGCATAACTTCTCAGCCATACAAGCTCAAAATTCAGCCAAATCAACAAAACTAAATTCACACAACCATAGTCATTTATTCATCCATGGTAAGGGGCAAGATAGCAGAGTGTGAGGTTGATGTGTTTTTATTTTATTTTATTTTCTGTTGGGTGTGTATTTAGGGATAGTTCGGAAAGATAGTGGGGTTTTCTTAAAAATTGTGAAATTTTGAATTAGAAGTTGGGTGAACTTAGAATATGGGGTCAACAAAGAAAAGTGCGGGGTTCAAACATAAGAATTTTGTTAAAATAAGGTGTTTTTTGGGGAGTTTTTGTAAAAAATAGCCAAAATTTACCCCATACTTTAGTAAATGTAAGTTTTTATAAAAACTTAAAAAAAAGAAGCCAAAAACTCGTTAAATAGACTCAAAATACCCTCAAAACTAAAACCCACATGAACCTAAGAAGGAAAACCTATTAGATAAAAGTACGTGAGTGACATATCGGGCAAAGCTACACCCAACAAGAAAAGAAAAAAAAAAACTGAGCTCCTTCGATTTCAAAATCTTTTCCACTAGAACCTTTGTTTGTGACCCGAAACCCATTGAATTTCACAGCCATGGCGAGCACCAAAGTTCAGAGGATTATGACCCAACCCATTAATTTTATCTTCTAGTTCCTTCAAAGTAAAGCTCACATTTAGATTTGGCTCTTGATTGAAGGCCGAATCATTGGTTTTGATGTGTACATGAATTTGGTTCTCTATGAAGCTGAAGAAGTCAGCATCAAGAAAAAACAAGAGAGTAATTGCGAAAGGAGACCTCATCTTAAGCAATATCGGATATTTTCAATTTTGCTATGGATTATTTTCAAAACTGTACTCTGAATTGTAATCCTTTTGTTTTTATTCGAACAAGTTTAGTTTTTTTTTTGGAGCGGTTCTTGTTTTACAACATTGATGACAAATGGAGTACCTTTGTTGATTAAAATGGGTGGGGTGGATTGGAGTTTGGGTGGTGGGTGTGACTTGGGGAATCAGGCCTTGAGGTTGGGAAAGTGGCTTGGGTGTGGAGGTGACAAGGTGGTGAGTTGTTGAAAGAAAGAAATAGAGGAGAGGAGTGGTGGCAACTGGGATGGGCTGGGATGGTGGTGTCTTGTTTGTTTGTTAAGTTTTTAGGTGTATGTGGGTTTTTGTTTTGAGGGAATTTGAGTATATTTAACTCAGTTTTTGGCTGTGTTTGAAAGTTTTTATAAAAACTGACATTTATGAAAATAGAGGATAAATTTTAAATATATGTTTTTTATTTATAAAAACTCGTTTTTCGAGTGTGATAAGACTTCCATTACGATTAGGTGACTCTCAAACTGAATCCACTTCAAATCAATAGAGCAAATCTCATTTAACCAAATTGAACCATGAACCCTATTCCAATCAATAGAGCAAACCCCGCTCTCGCTCATATATGTTGTTCTATTGTAACAACGAGGTTCAAAACACACTTTTTTTTAACATTTACTTGAACTAAAAATTGCTTAATATCCTCCATAATAATATTCCCGACCGTTAGCCAACTTTTTTGCTTTTGAATTAGGCTGCTAATCCTTTTTCAAACGAAACATAAACAGAAGGTACCTTGTAGCACTGATAACGATAAAAGGAACGTTAGAAAATTACATCATGTCCTATATGAAAATAACTAGGAAGTAGGAACTACGAAGCAACAACTCTACCCCACAGGAGTTTCCCCACATCCAAACAAAACCCCTCAAAAGTGCATCCAAACAAAACCCAAAAATACTCTAAACACCCACCCATCTCCCAACCCAACTTCACACGCACAACAAAAACCCCCCCATGGATACCCCCAACTCACAACCACCACCACCACCTCAATACATCCCATTACTCTCCGACCAGAAATACGCCGTTTCACCAGCATCACTTCCTCACTCCCACCTCCCACGACGACGTCGTACAATCTGCCTCGGCATCACTCTCCTATTAGTCCTAGCAGCCGCCAGCTGCTCCGCGTTCCTCTTCTGGCCGTCCGATCCCTCCCTCAAGATCGTACGGCTGCGGCTTAACAGAGTCCAAGTCCACACGCGGCCGCACGTGGCCATCGACGTGTCCATGTTAGTGACGATTAAGGTCCGAAACGGCGACGTTTACAGAATGGACTACGAGGCGCTGGAGGTGGCGGTTGGGTACAGAGGGAGGAGTCTGGGGCACGTGACGTTCCAGCGGGGTCACGTGCGGGCGTTTGGTTCGTCCTACATGGAAGCGGAGGTGGAATTCAACGGGGTCGGGGTGTTCTCTGACGTGGTGCTCCTGCTCGAGGACTTGGCTAAAGGAAAGGTACCGTTTGATACTGTTACGGAGGTCCACGGGCGGCTGGGCTTCCTGTTCTTTGAGTTCCCTTTGCAGGTACGTAAGCCTAATTAGTTCTGTAGAGTATAATTAATTAAATTAATTAAGGTTTTAAGTTGAGATTGGTTAATGATTTATGGTTAAAGAAAGAAAGACTTGGAAGTAATGTTTGTGATTTTGGTTGGGAAACTTGGCAGGCAAGGGTGTCGTGTGAAGTCATGGTGAACAC